CGGGGGGGGGGGGGGGGGGGGGGGGGGGGGGGGGGGGGGGGGGGGGGGGGGGGGGGGGGGTGAGGTGGGAGGGTTTACCTCGAGCAAACAGGTTGGAGAAGTCGGTCTCCGTACGCCGGAAGCGGCCATCTCTGTCACTGTTTTCACAAGAAAGCAGGTTCTTGGAGGACTGCCTCTCCTTGAAGGCGCTCACAAGCCGGCTCTTCTCTTCCAGGCTGTTGGTCCTTTGCAAGAAGCCTGTAGCACAAGAAGCTGGGTCAGAGGGAGTGCACTGAACTCCCAGCCTCAGAGGGTCAGCTGGGCCAGGTCGACTCTTCAAGCAGGGTTCTCCCTTTTCCTGAGAAGAAGCTGAGTGTCTGTGTTTACATATAAGGGCTCTGGCACTGCTCACCTTTAGGCGAGGAGGGGGCAGTGCCAAGTGTCATCAGTGGCACAGACTCAGTCAGGCAAGAGAAGAACAGTGAGCAAAGCCCATTCTCCTCTCTGAACGTGACAGTGAACTCAGAATTAAGTCAATTGGACAGCTTCCACTCCAGTAACCAGCCCCAGGATGGAGTTTTGAGGGAAGAGACACTATTGAAGAGGATGCTGCCAGAACTGGGTTTATGGGCTGTGCAACCAGAGCGAGGAGGGGGTGAGGGCCAGAGGGGGGAGGGAGAGAGGACTAGAGGGAGGAGGGAGTGAGGACCAGCAGAAGGAAGAGGGAGTGAAGACCAGTCCTGGGCATTAGGGAAGATGCTTTCCTTGGGTACCCGGTAATGCTTACAGGGTTGAATTCAAGTGTAATTCTTCTGACCGGAACCTGAAGTGCAGTTTTCCCTGTACCACTCCCTCTCCTTGAATAAAGGTATTGGGTAAAGAGAGAAGAAAGCTTAAAATCTTATGTGTGTGACATTCAGTTCTATAAATACTTATTGAGCACCTATTATGGAAAAGCACTTTGCTATGCATTTAGGACGGGGGACAGATAGAGATAAATGAGACAGTGAGACAGATCCCCAACCCTCCAGGAGGTTACAATTTGGCAGGTGGTGACCAGTGCTGTAACAAAGCTGGAAAGTCACCCAAGAACTCCACAGAGATGACCTCCCAGCCCAAGGTGGGATTCAAAGTGTCTCACCTCAGCCCCTCAGAAGGAGTGGAAATCTCTCCCGCCTGAGGTGAGCAGTGCAAACACCACCAGCAGCAAACAGAAGCAGGCTGAGCCAAAAGGGCTGGAGACACTGCCACCTTGGAGCAGGCTCCCTCCCTCAGTACCTCCACTCATCCCCTCAGGGCTCTGGAGCCTGCAGACCTGCTCCTTCCCCCAGCATCTCCTCTAATTCAGCCTCAATTTTAGCCTGAAATGCAACATACTGAAAAGAGGAAGAAAGTTCTAAGCTTCTTGGTGCCCCAAAAGCTGGCTTTGAAGATACCAAGATCCTTGGAGGCTCACGCCTGTCACAGACAGGCTTGGAGGAAAGTCACAGGAGGTTCAAGGAGAGGCGAGTTAATCTGGGGAATTCAGCTTTACTTCCCCAGGACTGCGATGCAGTGGTGAGAGGTGGAGGAAGCAGGGATGCAGGGGAAGGCTGCGTGATTAGAATCCTCCCACACGCGGGAGCAGGGTCTATTTTGGGAGGGGAGAATAGGAAGGCAGAGACACCAGGCCTTATCTTTCCTGGCACCTTGTAAACATCCCTAAAGCCCTACAGGACATCAGAAGAGGGGAGTACACTATAAGAGAGCTCCGTGCTTGGGTACAAAGACTGGGGTGCAGGGGGATGTCCTTTCCTCACCTCTTCTCCTCACCTCTGAATTCCTCCTCCAAATCCTCAAAGTCCAAACCAGGAGGCAGCACTCATTTGCCAGAGGAATGCAGGATCACCTGGCTCCTGAATTCTAAGACTGCCCCCACCCCCACCCCACACCCCATTTCTGGAACAGCGAGCTGTGGAATTTGCCAGACTGAAAAAAACAAATCCACGTGGCCTAACGGAGGTGAGGTCCTGCCTAGTGACCTCCTCCTTTAGGCCTCTGGGCTCTGTTGGCTCTGACTCACTCCCTGCAAAAGCCTTAAGTCTCTCAACCTTGAATCCCCTTAGCAACTACTGCAGGATGGGGCCTCCATTTAGGCTTTGGAGATGATCTCCAAAGAAGGGCCTGACACAGGCGGTCCAGAGATGTCCTGACAGGGCTGAGAGATGACGATTATGACACAAGTTTAAATCTACATCCCATTCCTGGACCACCCTTCCTGGAGCGCCCCAGGACTCTGTGTTTTCTATAAATCCTGTAAATTATCTTATGAATAGCCCACTTACATTGCATTATAATTTGTGTTAAAAACCATTAATTTGCTAATATAAATGTTTAGTGTATATTGTTATTGGAATAACAATTCTTTACAAAGTATTTGTTTTCTAAAATACCGGGAGCTTCAAAAAGGGAAATGACCCAGGCCTCCCTGGGCTCTGAGAGGTTCTGGAAAGAACCATATGCTTCTCTCAGGAGAGGAGGTGTGGATGACATTGAGGTCAGTGCTTTGACAACTTCCCTGGTTAGCAAGGGGTCCTGGAGCAGGGGTCCCTGAGACTGGAGCAGACTGTACTCCCTCTTGCTCTGCACACCAGCTGTGAGGACCCAGTTTAAGCCTGTGAGTAACTGGTAACCAAGCTCAAAATTAAGAGGTAAAGAGGCAAGAGGAGAGTCAAAGGGGCTGCCGCTGGCTTTGGTCAGGTTGTGGCACTCTGGCCAGCTTCAAGGTGAGAACAGGAGGTGAGCCCTGTCACGGCTCCACCTCGGGGCAGAGGGGAGATCCTGGTGCTGGTTCCCTACCCCTACCCCTAAACTCAAAGGCCTAGGGGGCCCAGTGAGTGAGGGGAGGTGTGAGGAACTAGAGAGCACCTGGCTAGAGCTAGTTTCCAAGTTGTTTCCAAGTGGGGCTGCGAGCTATGCATAGCATAAGGGCGCATGGCCAAGGGGTTAAGTGGGGCCTGAAGCCCAATGCCCCTGCTCTCACTCGCCAAGCTCTAGCACAGAACTGCATCTACCTAGAGAAAGAGGCTCTTTTTCTGATTTTTACAGGCTAACGGTACCTGCCAGATTCCTACCCCCACCCTGCTTTTTACTTCAAGAGAGGCCAGAAATATAGAATATTTGAAGTCTATGTTTAAAAGTTGGCAACTGATGCAAAATTAAATGCACACAAACAAAAACGTACACACACACTGCATGGGTTAAATGAGATCAGAAGCTGTAACTGGCAGCCAGTTTGGGACTTTCTGCATAGACAAGTGATGGAGAACCAAGGATCCACTAAGAAGTCAGCAGAGGTGAGCCAGAACTTAGGGCTTCCTGCGTTTCCTTCTATTTAGGTCATGCCACCGTGCCTGTATCCACCCCACTCTTGGCAAGACCCTGAGTTTCTTCTAGCTGATTACTCTCCCAGGGGATTCTGCCTCCAGAGCTAAGGGTACCACTCTTGAGACCCTGGGCCTTCCTTGCAGCTTCATTCTCTGGCTTCCAGGGAAGAGTGGTAAGGGGTGGGGGGAGCAGAGGGGGTGGGGGTTGAATCTTGGCAAGGCACTGAAGACGCTTATGAACGGAAATGGGAAGAGGACCATTTGTTCCTCTGTCTTAAGGGGAAAAGTCAAACCAACCTGATGTTATCAGGTCAAGAGGGCTCTGTCCAGGCCCAGGAAGGTCTGGGATGAAGGTAGTCAGGGTGTCTGTGTGAGGAGGAGGAGAGGGGGCATGGATCCCGGTCAAAACCAGACTGCAACCCGCGTCCAGTAGATGAAAATGGAAAGCCAGAGTTGTCCCAAAGTATGGAAAATAAATCCTCCTGATGTTTTGTTTCCTTTCAGAATTAAATCTAACGTGAAGCCTCTTACCCTGTGGCCTCCAAAGCATGTATTTTAGGAGAAAGCAATTTCCCCTCAACAGACTACTAGCCCTCCACTCCTGTCACACCAGTTGCAACTTCCCTGAAATTAGTGTTCTAAAGGGAGGAGAGGGGTAGAAACAGAGAAGAAAGTGTTCGAGTGCCCCAGAGCTCTCCCTCAGGGGAAGGTGACGCAAACCCTATTCCTGGACCCACAGAAGTTCAACTCTTTCTGCCCCTTTACCCTTTCGGGACACTTCGGGTGTGTCCCCCGAAGAAAAGTTTAAGTTTAGACCTTTTCTTTGCCCGGACTCCGAAGGCCTGCAGTCGGCGCAGCAGAAGGCACCACCTGGGGCCGGGGCAAGGAGGCCGGGATGGGGGTGGCTGAAGGCTGCCCCCCAGGCAGGCCCAGGACCGCAGAGAAGGCAGCCTACACCCCAAGTCTCCCTCCACCCGGTCCTGGACCGCGGCGGGCGCCCAGGGCTCACTCAGTTCTGCTTGCCCAGCTGCAAGACAATGACAGCTGCAGAAGCTGAGCGCCGGCCGCCGGCCGCCGAAAGGACCTGGCGAGAAACGGGCCATTAAGCCGGGAATGGCGGCGAGGGGAGACGGCTATTTATAGAACAAAGCTCGACTGCAGGCAGCTGCCCCGCGCAGGGACGCGGCCCCGACCTCGCCCTGCTGGGCCTCGCATGCTGGGGAGAGGGCCAAACCCCGGGGCGCCCGCGGCCGGGCCGGGCTTGCCCTGGGAACCGGCTAGCTCCAGGAGTTGAGCAGCCCTTCCTCACCGTCCTCGCCGCTTCCGGGATCGAGCGGACGGAAGCACAGAAGCACAGGCAGGGCGCCGCGCGGCAAAGCAGGGACGGGAAGGTGATTCCCAGAAGCTGCTAAATAACCCCTCTCCGCTCTGGCCCGAACGGCCGCCGCCCTCAGGGCCCCGGGACGCAGCAGGCCCGGAGAGCAGCCTCTCGCCGACCCGCTGTCGGGCGCTCCCGGGGAGACGGCGGGCGGGAGGGCCCCGCGCGCGATCCACCGCTATCTCCCGCGCGCAGCAGCTGACGGATGGCTCTTTAATAAGCCCCTCGTTAATCTTCCCCCGCCTCTCCACCTCCTGCCCGGGCACGTCCGTATTTTCTGGCCCGATAAGGCTGGAGATTTTAGACGGTGAAATGTAGCAGGGAAAGCAAGTCCTCATTGTTCAGCCGGAGCCACTCAGCTGTGTCCCTTCGAACAAATCTCCTTTTTTCCGTAAAAAAAAAAAAAAATTACATCCCCTGGGCGTTTTCATTTCAGACCGTCACCGGAGAGCAGTTCTCTCCAGCTCCCAGGTCTATTTACCTTCCTCTCTGGCAAATCGTGCCGGACACCCCCTTTTCTCCTCTTGCAGCCCCACGACTCCGCTGCCCCCTTTCCCTTCCCTCCTCTCCTTCGCCGGCAAGCTCGGCCAACCCTCAGAGCTGCGTCGCCCGCACCTCCCCCTGGCAGGCCACTAAGGGCTGCAGGCAATGCCTTGTCTTGGCTTCCGAGGCACCTCCAAATGAAATCTGAATGCGTTATGACATCTCGGGCAAAATCTCAAGCCAGGAGGCAACTTGCAACGCGCGATGGTGGAGAAGGAAGGGGGACGACGTGTCAACCACCGCCTTAGGCAGATACCGCGCCTTAGGCCTGCTCTCCAGGAAAGCCAGACCAGTTCACCTTTTCTACTCGATCTTCGGGCAGCGCGGGCAGAGCCCACCGGTCCAGGAGGCCCTGGCGCCAAGAGCGGGGCTGCCGCGCGGGGGCGCAGTGGTCGTGCTCTTGCGCCCAGACAGAGGGAGCCCTGCGGTCTCAGGTAGTCTGGGACTCAAGAGGAAAAGGTCCCTCCGGGCGAAGTCAGGGGAGAGCAGGGGAGGGTCAAGGCCTATAGAGGAGCGTCTCTGCCGGGCGGGAGTGCTGTAGGCACATTAGAAAACCAGACTCAAGAGCCAAGATTCCCTTTCGCGTGAGTCCCACTCTCCCAAATCCGCAAAGCCCGCGCGCCGCGAAGCCCTAATGAACCCCAGCGGGCCATTTCACTTACCGCAGATCTTGAGCCCCAGTTTTCTGGTGCATCCATGGGCCACGCCGCACCAGGTGTCATACGCTAGAAAACAAGAGAGACGCGATCAGCGAGGCTTGGACCGCGAGACCTGGTCGAGGGCAAAGGTTTTCTGGGGGGGGGGGGGGGGGGCACAGGTCTTCGCCACTGCTCCTCATTAAAAGCTTTCCTAAAAAGAGCGAGGAGCCACATCTGTGGGCCAGTGGGCACACTCATGCCCTCCGAGGCCCCATCACACTCCCTTCCTGCTCCCACCTTCAGGTGGAGAACAGTGTCTCCGAGAGGCCGGTACCCAGCGCCCAGCCCGGCCTCCAACAAACACCCGCGAAAAAGCCGAGGAGGCGGGGTGGGATTCAGGCAGGGCTGACCCAACGCGCAGAGGGCCAGGCCCCGCCGCACGAGTTGCCCAGCACCCACCCTCCAGGCCCTGTCCTTTGGTCTACGCCCCGCAGACTCGAAGGGCGACCACAGTAGCCTGGAAAGGGAACACAAAGGCATCTGGGACCCAAACGTCTCATAATTTCTTGGCGGGTCTCCAGCCGAGTGGCAGCTTAAAATAAACTGGCATGAAATGGGGTCGCGGAAGAGTTCAGGAATTAATTGGGTGAAAAATAGTATTTGACTAGATGATGGGGCTCGCATGGCTGCTCTCCAGTCGGACAGGGGCGGGGGTGTCGCGGGGGAGTCGGGAAGACAATGGTGCGCCTCCCGTTCTCATTCCCGGACCCTTCTTCCCAACCTGCCCCTTGTTAACCCTTCCCTGGGACCTCTCGGGTCTGGAGCAGGCGAAGGCGAAGAGAATCAGGCACCTTTCCTCTGGGTCCAAACCGCGGGCCCAGGTGCTGCCGTACTTTCCTTCTGGGTCCATCCTGCCCTTGGGGTTGAACTTCCAGCAAGGTACACAAGCGTGCCTGCGGAGCCCGTGCGCGAGCCCGCACTCGGTGTGGTGAGCCCAGTGTGACATTTCCTTCGGATCCCTCAAAGCAAAGCGCCTCCAATCACTCCCATCCCCCACCCGACCCTGGCCGGTGCCTCCCAGCCCGGCGCGAGTGTTGGCTGCGATAAGGAGAGTGACATCCATTAAACCCGAGGCACCGCAGATCCCCAGCGGGTAGAAGAAATAGCCCCACGTCAGTGACACAGTATGTCACAGATGGAGTTCCTGTGACAGACAGGAAATCGGTGCGAAAGCAAAACCCTAATAATAATACCTGGCGGGTAAAGAGCTATTTCCACCCCATAAAGTGCTTTCCTTTTAAACACCATCTCAGCTAATCCTCATAACAGCTCCATGAAACAAGAGGAGTGTTAATCTAAGACTCACTTTACAAATAAAAACATTGGGGGCTCAGAGAGGTTAAGCGAGTTTTCCAAGGTCACTCAGCTGGGGCGTTGGGAGTTCAGACCCATTGCACTGTCTTTCAGAGTTGGGGATTACACTGAAAGAAAGGGAAAGAGAGACGGAGAGAAGTGAGAGAGCTCTAATGTACTGAGGGTCGGGAAGACAAGTGGTGGAGGGCAAGGAGGAGGGGGTCGCTGGAGAAAGAGGCCGAGTAAGGCTGTGCGCATTGAGCAAGGCCACTTCCCAGGTGACCACGGAGGGGCAGAGAAGCGGAGCCAGCTGGGCGGGCGAGGGTGTGTCTGCAAGGGAGAGCGAGAGCGGGGAGAGAGCCCGGCGTGCGCGGGCAGCCTGGGATGCTCATGCCACAGCTGAGTTGTTGGGGGCCAGCAGCAGCGTTCTCGGAGCAGGTGCCGCATGCTCTTCCCGCGCCGGCTCCTTGTCTACCTTCCCTCCGCCTCGGCGGCCCCCGGGCGCGCCAGGCCATATGCGAACTCTGGCCAGCGCCTCTAAGGGGTCTCGGACCCGGGGTCGGCAGTTAGCGCCCCATCGCCGGCTGCGGCCGGGAAGTAAGAGCCGGAGTCGGCGGTGGGGGTGCAGGAGTCAAGGGTGAGTGAACCCAGCCGCCGCCCAGCCCCGCCAGGCAGCAGAAAAGGGGCGGGAAATGTGGAGACGACTGGGAAAGAAATCCGCCAAGGCCGGAGCAAGAGACAAAGGCGCGCAGGCCTCGCGTTCCTCCCGGCCTGTTCCAGCCAGCTCGGCCGCCCGTACCGGCTCACGTGCCACCAGGGCTGGCGGCTCTCCCGAAGCCCTCTTTGTTGTGTGGGTAATTGTAGCTCGCCTGCGGGGTGGGGAGAGGGAGCTGTAAAGGGAAGTGGAACGAAGCCTAGGGACTTAAGACAAGACCTCCGGCCTGGGAGCCAGTGACAGCACCTATGGGTTGGAGAAGGGGCTTACCCATAACATCCCTCATCTTCCTTGATGGGAACAATTGACGTTTTCTCAAGCTTACAGAAAGTGCCATAAAACCGCAACAGTAAGCGCCCTCCTTCTGCCATCCTTAAGCCCCTCTTATATAGAAATTCTGGGGCCGTTACTATCTGGAGCTGATGGTTTGGGGGGGGGGGGAGCATTTCAATCCAAATTGGACAAAGAAAAACCAAACAACTCTCTCATCCCTACGCCTCTACACATAGGTGGGAAGTCAATCTGAATTAAAGACAGATTCTGGAAATGAGTTACAGAGCACACTGAGCTAGGGGTGGGGAAGCATAAATCCCCTCCACCCCTTTTATCTGGTTCCCCTTTTCTTCCTCTCTCTCCAGGATGTGTCAATTGCTGACGGGTCTCCTACCCGGGAGAGAGAAGAGAGGTGCTCTCTCCTCCCGCCCTGGCAAACCTTCTTGCCATCTCCTGGTTCCCCACCTCTCCCTGCTCAGGATACTGCCCGCTCCTTTATTTTCTTTCTTCCTTTCTTTCTTTTTTCTTGCCTCTGAAATTTAATGAATTGTCTGAAATGTCGAGGCTCAGTCTCAAACGGTTTAATGCACCTTTCTCGCCCCTGGCTTCTGCCTCACTCGTCAATAGCTCGACGCAAATTTGGAGCAATTAGGGACCCCGAGTTTTCTAAAAGCTGCAATTAACGTCGAAATTTCCGCTGATTATAGACTTCTAGTACAGCGCAGGGGGAAAGGAGGAGGGGGTCAGATCTCGGCTCAACGAAAGCCAGAGACAGAACTCTCCCTTCCCGCTGGGACTCCTGGCTCCTTACACCGCCCCTGCCCTGACTCCCGTCGTCCCACCAAGCAAAGAAACCACGCACAACACGACAAAAACAACACTCTCGCCGCCCGTCCATCCCCCTCAGCGAAGCCCCTAAAGATCGCCGCTTCTCCGACTGTCCATGGTTTCCGTTCTCCAGCGCCTCGGAATAGCCTAGCGTCCCTGGCAGTCGAACGACCTCTGGCCAGTACCCGGGTCAGGGCCTCATTTCTTTCCAGCCTTCATCATCTCCGCGCTCCCCCTTCCCTTTCTGTCAGCGCAGCCTCCCCACGTCCCAGCGCCCCCATCTTATCCGCAGTTCATTTGATAGGAAACTGGGGCAGGACCTACTTGTGGGGCGCAGGTTAGTAGTATTAGGGTCTGCTCCCGCGTTCGAGGCGGTTGCGGACGAAGAAGGGGTCGAAGACGCCATCGGCTCGTCGTCCCGGGGACTCTGCTGTCCGGGGTCCTCGTCTGGTCGGGCGCAGGAACCGGCTGCAAAGAGACGCGACAGCTGTGCGAGGAGGACTTCCGGGGTCTTGCGCGCAGGAGGTGACTGAGAGGCAGGGAGCGCGGACGCTCCCCCTGAAGTCCGGACTCGGGAGAGAGAGGCCGGTGGAAGGGCAGCTAGCAGGCTGGGTCCGGGTGCGCCTGGGGGAGGGGGAGACGTGCGCGCGAGCTCGGGGACTCCGGCGCTGGCAACGTAGCCCCGGGCGGCTCTCCAGTCTGGCGGCACAGCGGGGTGACCCGGAGTAGGGGGGCCCAAGGCCAGTGCAGGACGCGAGGGCGCGGGGGATTGGGCTAGGAGGGCAACGGAGGCTGAGCGTGCGATTTTCCAGCGGAGCCGCGACAAGCCCCATTGGGCTCTCAGCAGCCGGCGGGCGGGCAGGCAGGGGGAGGGCGCACGGGGCGGGCACGTCTGGTTGGGTGTCTGGTTCCCGTTGTTGTGTCTGGCTAATTCCCTGGAAAGAAGGGGGCTAACTGCTCCGAGGCCCGGGGACTTAGATGAGACAAGGTGAGAGGAAACAAGGGTCTATATCTTTACGTTCTCTCTCAGACTTGGCCGGGGAAGAACTATAGGCACCTTGCACTACCAGACAGCTAGGAAGCAGCGGGCTGGAACCCCGCTCGTCTCCCTCTTGTCCCACCCCGCTTGGAGCCATCTCGAAGCCCAGGACGAGGCTCGGTCCGGGTTTCTGTGTTTCCCTTCGACCCAACTCTCCGAGGACCCCAGATTTCTCGCGGTACAGACCCGGAGAACGTGAAGGAGGCAAGAAAGGGGAACGTCACCGGTGAAACGAACTTGCGCTCAGTGCGCCAGAGTCGGTGGACAAGGATCCGTGCGCGGCGCCTCTGCTCGGCGCTGGCGCGGTGGCATCCAAAGGCCCCGGGACAGAGAGCGCGCGGGCGAATCTGGGTAGATCTAACACCCAGCAGAGCAGCGTCCGCCGGCCACCGCCTCCACACCTTCCATAGGACCCCGCACCTCGCCCCGCGCGCCCACTCGCACAGCAACGCAGGCAGCAGGTAGAGCGCGGCTTCTGGGGAAGTAACAGGTTACCGCTCCGAGTCGCACCTTCGGCTGCTGCTGCCCAAGGACCCTTCGGTGAGATGGGCGCTCGCAGCAGGGAAGCTCAGGGGAAAATCGCTCTCCTTCCACTTCAGGGCGAGCTTCAGCCTGTGTGCATCCCCGGGGCGTGAACCCCGATGGTGCGGACAGGGAGGGAGAGTGCGAGGGCAGGGGTCCCTGCGCCGCGCACCAAGAGAGAGCCAGGACTGGGGCGGGAGGGATGCGCTCTGCTCAGGAAGGTAGATGGCGGTGGCTGGAGGTAGGGGTTGGCCGAGAAACCGCGGGTGAAGAGGACCCAGCTGAACCGCCGAGGCTGGGCACTGGGAAGTCCCGGCGGCCGCGCGCTTACCCACCTCGGCTTGGTGGCAGCAAGCCTGGCGCTCCCGACGCTCCTCTGCGCAGCGCCCAGCGGTGTACTCGGCTCGTCCCGGCCCTGCCACAGGCGTGATCTGTCCGGCGTCACCTCCAGCTGCTGCCTCGCTCCCACTAGCACCGTCCCGCACGCGAGCGCCGGGAGGAGAAGACAGAGATCCGGAGAGGTGGCAGCTCGGCTTCGGGGGAGGCGGGGGCGGAGTGGGGAGGCGGGGACCGGCTCGGCGGGGGAATCACGAGGCCGCTGCTCGCGGGGGCAGCTCGTCGGTAGAGCGGCGGGGCTCCTTTGCAGGTGCCTGACCGCCTCTGGAGCTTTATAGGGCGGTTATAAATCCAGATCACGGTTTTGCGCCCGGAAAAACAAAAAAGGCCCTATGAGTAATCCAGAACGTACTCAGCACACTCTATTTTTTGAAATAGGCACAGTGTCGGGTAAGACGAGGGAAAAGATAATTCCTATGAAGGCTTATGCCTCGCTGAGCGCTTCTTCCTCCTTCCCCTCCCCCTCCTATGTCTTCGAAAAGACAAGAGCAGTGGCTTTGCCTCTCTTTCTTTCCCCGCGACTCCCCAAGAACTGCGACCCCGCGACGCTTCTTTGAGCGAATGCTCCCTCTCGATCCTGTCCTCTCTGGCTCTCTGCTGAGCCAGGATTGTTGCAAAAGCAGAGGCAGAAAGGGGAGGGGGCGGCACTCAGACCCTGGAGGAATCTCCATCTGCTTTTCACTACGGTTTCCTCATCCACCTGGGGAGGTGGGGTCAAATTACCTCACCTGAGCGCAGCTACCCGGTGCCACCGGCAGGGAAAAGGGTCCCGTTTCCCACGCACTATGCGTTCCCTGCTACCTTTGGTCCCCTTGATGGTGGGGAAAGAAGTCCTCCTGATTGATCACATCTGAAGGTTAATAACACGCACGAGCGCCTCTCCACACACACAGGGAACTCGAGCACAGAGGTGGCCCCGGGCAGGGGCTCGGGGCGGGGCGGGGGTAGGGACGGATAGGCCTTCCCTGCCCAGGCCCCCTCCCCTCACTCCCCCTTCAATTTCATGCTTTAAGGATTCTCCTTTCTCAGTATTTAAGCATATTTAATGAATTGCCGCGCTCGGAAAAGCCCCTCACGATAAACAGGCGTTCCCGAAAAATTTTCCACCAGAGGGCGCCAGGCGCCCAGAGACCGAGAAGCCCGCTCCTAGCTGGGTCTTTCCTCCCGCGCCCGAGCCCACACCTGGAAGGGCCGGCCAGGCTCTGTCGCTCTCCTGCCTCTATAAGACATCACCCCAGCCAGCCACTCTCGTCGCCCATTTATGTTCTCCTCTTTCCTCTACCTCGGTTTCTTCTTCTTTAGAGCAAAACAAAGTTGATCTTTGTGTGTGTCTGGGTGACACCATGTAACCAGTGATTCCTTTACTCCTTTTCACAGTGATTTTTTTCCTCTTGTGGTGCTGCAGGCGTGGGTTATTGATGGACACGTCTGCGGCCTTGCTGGTCCACCCGAGGCCGGTCCCTTCTCTCTGAATGTCTTATCACCTTTCACCATGACACAGTGGGAATGCCAAAAATCTTACAAATCACTGAAAATTTCATAAGGGAGATTGAAGATTCTGCCCTGAGAAGATACAGTCCGATCAGTAAGAGGGATCTCGCTATGACGTTTGAAATAAATGCGTTGCCCTTGATACTAAAGAAAATACTGTCGCCCTCTCTCCACCTTACAACAAAAGCTCCGGCCCTTCTTAAGGACACAAAGGCATCCTGAACGGCGAGCGTGCAGTAACCACAACTCTGGGGCGCGAGCTCCGGGCTGGGCATGGTGTGCGTGCTTGCTCCGCGCAGCTTCTCCGCTATGCTTCAAATGAGCGGTTTATTAGGAGGTCAGGCTCGGAATTCCACCCACGCCCCCTCCTCGAGCTTCCCTGAAAGAGACGGTTGCACCAATCAGGGAGGCTGGTGCCAGGGACGCGGGACGGGATTCGGGACGCGCGCGGGGCAAGATGACAGGCGAGAGGCGGCAACAAATCCCGGCGCCCCTCGGGGTCAGCTGTCCCAGGAAGACGCCCGCTCGCTCTCTGTCTCGTCAACCTTCTCCCAAGATTCGAGATTCTCTGGAAAGGAAGATTTTTACCTTCACCTGTGGCATCAGACTGAGAAGTTTCCAACCACGCCCTCTTGTGACCCTAGTGTCCAAAAAGCTCAGCCCAAATGTTCTAGCCAAGAAAATAATCTCGTTGGAAAAAGAAATCTCCTACAAGACTAGGCATCGCAAATTAAAGCTAAGTCCGTCCAGCTGTGAGGACGTACCTCACTTTCTGCTTTATGGAGGGGAAGGGGAGGAATAAAGGCTCCTGCTCGTCTTTAATTTAAAATTGTTTAATCAAATATTAGTAATTAATTAAACGAATATTTATGAATCACCTACTATGTACCAAGCACTGTTCTTACAACCGTCCCAGCAACTTATATTATCCCTGCCCTCAAGGAGTTGACATTCCAGTTAAGCGAGGAGAGCTACAGACTTGGGGAATTCATGGCTTTGATTTATTTTCAGATTATCTCCCATTCCAATCCAGACTCGGGCGCAGCGGAGATAATAAGGAGCTGAGGGCCTAGAATCCCACACAGTTCCGGCACATCTAGTTCGGAGCAGGGCCCAGGTCTTTCAGCACCAAGGACAGCGTCCACCATTCGGTCCCTTGAGCCTCGCTTAGGTCGGCTTCAGACGTCAGCCCTTAGCCAGTCGCCCCCGCCCGCCTCCCTCCTGGTAGTAACGGCTGTGTTTGTTTTCCCTTGTTGAGAGTATTTCGCCCCCATTTCTCCTCGGTAAGAATTTGCTCGGAGAGTGGTTGTGGTTGTCTTTTGGCTCTTCAGAACACTTGGAATCTATATTTTTGTTTGTGTTTTTCACTCTTCTTTTCATCTTTTATTACTCTTGGGGGAAGATGCTTTGAATAACGGGGGGTGGAAATAAGATATCCTCCCTGGGGCCTCGAACCGGTGGTGAGGGGTGGCCCGGAAGGGAGTGGTATCCGCCCAGCTGTTTCGTTTGCATTTGATCTAAGGTTTAGTGCTTTGAAGAGACGAGAACACGACGCCCAGAGGCAGAAGGAGTGGGCGAGCGCGACCCCTCTGGACTCTCTTTCCAGGGGTTCGCGAGCCTGCAGCCCCGGCTACTCGATCCTGCCCGCCAAGGACAACCTTCCTTTAGGTCAACGATGGCTGGGACTTGGGAACACGACCCTCCACCTACAACGTCCTTTCCCCTGGAGGTTTAAAGATATTCCAACCGGATCTGGAGGCGAGCCTTTCGGCGAAGGAAAAAAGGGAGTAGGTAGGAGGAGAGTAAGGCGCAGAAGGGTCACCCAAACAGGCTGCTGGGATTTTTATGCGTAAAAATATGGTCCAAGTCAAGGTGAGTAAATAAGAAACGTCAATCTATTTTGTTTTGACGCATTTAGCATTTTTAGCCTCCAGGAAAAGTAATTTAGAGCCACAGTGTTGGTTCATTTCAGCTGGCTCTTTAAAGTCTATTTTAAGTATCTAATTTATGACCAAAAAAGAGAGAGAAAAAAATGGCACTGCTCACCGTTTAAACGTCTGTCTCCAGAGACGAGGGCTGTGGGAAGCGTTGTTAACCTTACGCTCGGCTTTTCTTAAGTCGGAGCTAATGTCTGTTCGGTGTGTTTGCGTACTTTAAAGATAGTTCCCCAAATAATTCTGGACTTTCTTTGAAGACAATAGCTAGATCGACATCTCTACCCCAACAGACCACACCACACTCGCTCCTGGGAGACAGGAAAGGGTTAAAATGGTGGCGAGGGAGGCAGAATTCCAGCCAGAACGCTGGAGAGGACTCCGGAAATTACAACGTTTTCTTCTTAAAAAAAGAGAGCCGAGTCCCTCAGATAATCGTCAAATAGTCCCTTTCCCCTTGATATTGAGAAAATGAAAATATTCTAATATTAAAGAAATTAATCAAGGCGGACAGAGTGGTTTGTATTTGGGCAAGTCTTGTGCAGATCTTAAGACGCCCAGTTCTTGCTATTCCAAACACGGTGACAGAGGGACGACCACCAGATGGCGATAGATTACAATTTCTGAAAAGAAAGGAGAGGCCCCTTCGCACTCATACCCTGCCATATTTCACAAAGCAGGGGCCTTTTTTTCATGCTGAAAGATGCTGCCAGAAGTGGCCTGAAATACCCAGAGTCTCTGTCCCTTTGGTGAAAGAGAAGAGGATGCGGAGTATCCGTTTCTTTCCCACACAGCTGCTCCTCAAAGGGAGCCTTAGGATGGGAACTCTTTGATATCAGGCAGTGTTTCACCGCAAAACTGGAGACCAAGGAAATAACAGATCTGAATTGTAATTCTAACAGTTTTTAAGATGTATCTGTTTTAAATTCTTCTCTCCACAAAAACTAAGTCTAAATCAGTCTTTCCAAAAAGAGTGGGATGAAAGAAAGATGATTTCCTACATGAGAGGCTTTGAGTGAAAGAGTATGGAATGGAAGACTAGGTATAGTAATATTTTTGTCCAATTTTTTCAGCGTAAAAGCTCTTGAACTATTTAAAATAACAGGTAGTTAGCCCTTGTTTTCAGACTTAGGTGCCTGGGACTTCTGTTTGTGAGAAGGTTCTTAGTTGTGGAGAATCTGGTAACTTAAACCTCTATTTCAAATCCGATTCCTTCCCTGATCCTACTCAGGGGAGAAAACTGGAAACTTAGGAGGGATTCATCATTGCTGCTCGAGCTCAGTCCTCTTCATGTCAAGAATTACAGGTAAGAGCTCATGGAATTCATTCACACCTGAGGTTCTCACTTGTATCATCTGCAAATCAGTGCCGTGGTTTTTCCCAAAGCAGTTAGTCACCTGGACCCCGTTCTTTCTCTCTTACCTTCAGTTGCAAGGCTGGAGTCCTGTCTTCTTTGCCTTTGGGTGAGTCAGGAATCCTTTAGATCTGCACAATCTGAAATCTCAAGCAGTCCCTAAATATGCAGATTAAATGATAATACCTTCTCACTGGGGCTATAGGCACACTGTCTCAACTTCTTAGCCAGGGACAAGTACGGACAAGCTTCGGAGCATGGGGAGACTTGAACTGGCAAAACTTTTCTCTTCCCTAGCTCAGGACTGTACATTCCACTCCACCCCACCCCACCCTCCTCTGATTCCTAGAGAAAATTTTCTGATGGAATATTTAGACTTACTTGAAAAGGGTGAAAGGAAGCCTGTTTTGTGATGAAGTTCTTACTCTGTTCTTACTCCAGTGACACTCGCCTCCTGTTTCTTGAACATTCTAGGCTTGCTCCCACCTCAGAGACTTTGCAATTACTGTTCCTCTGCTTAAAAAGCTCTTCCCCCAGGTATCTGTAGGATTTGTTACTTCTTGTTCTGGCATTTGTTCAAATGTTCAAATGTTATTTTCTCAGTGAAACTTTCCTTTATCCTTCTATTTAAAATTGCACTTCTCTCCCTGCCATGGTACTCCCCATCCTTTCCCTGTTTTTTTTCCTATAACACTTTTTACCACTTGACATACTATATATTTTACTTATTTATTGCTTTTTTCTTCCCACTAAAATGTAAGCTCCATGAGGGCAGGTATCTTTTTAAAAAAAAAAAAACAAAAAACAAA